TAGCATTAAAATTCAGGGTGCTAAGCACCCTTAGCACCCCTGCGATTTGCGCCTATGATTATTGGTATCAAATAAATCAAATAATATTTTATATGAATCCATTGACTGTTAATTTTTTTATAAATGGAGATTTTCTTTACGTATTACCTATGAGTCTTCTACATATCACTAGAAGTACGCATACCACATCTTKAGAACGATAATCTTGATCATACGGATATATACCAGAGTCTATAATAAATTATATAAAACTAACATTTAAATGAATAATAATATTTTAAGTTTTATTGGTTTATATAGTGTAGACTTTAAGTATAGGCATGTATAATAATATTGGAAAAATAATGAACAAGGAAGCATTGCAGACTATGTATGCTAAATTTTCACAGTTAACTCTTTTACAAACAAAAAAAATTGAACCGTTTTCTWATCTTTAATATATCTGGCTTATGGCAATCGCTATATAATATAAATTATTATACACCATAAATGTATAACAACAAATACATAAATACAGTAATTTTAAAATAATAGCCAATATTTAGCTAATTATCTGATTTAAACTGGTTTATTCAGTAGGTAATCATTAATCACGAAATTTTTCTAACTATTTCGTAGTTAAAAATATATAATTTGTCAACTCAAATATCTAAGGCTTGAAAATTTAAAACACGAATCCTGATGTTAAGATTTTTTCAAAACATTAAATTATCGAAAACCTAAGCTATGTTTAGTTTAAGTTTTGTCGAAATTGTATACAATTAATATATGTATTAAAACAATGATAAATGTATTAAAATTGAAAACATAAGATTTCATTGAATTAAATCTGTACATTGATTTATTTTTATGATGAAATTTCATAGGCTCGAAATCATCACCTTTTTTCTTTAAATTTACAGTCGTTTTTCATTAATCCTACTACACTTTTCTCTGAGTGTATATCCAATCGAAAAAAAGTAATATGAGTTATTTTATTGTAATTCAAATACATAATTACTTATAMATTTTGTAATATTATTTGCCATTTCACGTATTTAAATATTTAACACACACAATGAAATTTTAAAAGTAGGTACCTCGTATACCATACGGCAAACCGTCCATACCTATATAGGTAACGAATTAAGAAAATATTAATAATAAATAATAATAATATATTTACTCTAAAATATAATAGTTGCTGATTTACTCATATCTTTCTCTCAGATTTTTTTCACATTCAAGTTCAGTATAAATATTAATGAATTCAAATTTATTAAATTCGTACAYTTCAATGAAAAGGTTTGTTATTAGTTCTCAATTGTTAAGTGAGAMCAAAAATTATTATATTTCGATTGAACAAAATTTAACTTCAAAATTCAAAATTACCAATAATATACGATTTATTTTTATTTTTGRATGCTAAAAGACTAGCTGCTTGTTAGTTCAATTTCGTCCAGATAAACCTTTAATATAAAGTGAGAGAAATATTTTTAAATGATGTATACTTCCAGATTATATTTGATACGTGTGAAGTGATAACCTTTAATTATACATAATATGATACCGAGTAACTACTAACTAAATATCAATTCATCATTTATGTACAATATTACTCAATGTTTAATGTGCATTTGACTTTAATCTATTAACAGTACAAAGTTTATCTTAGAAAATAATATATAATATTAAATTGTATCTAGTGTACTTGGTAATTAGTACAGTTACCTTCATGTTTATCTGAGGTTATATCTCTAATATCAACTCTTTATAAAAATAATTGATTTAAACGCCAATGGCCCGTGGTCGAAACGTAATAAAATAATTAATAATACAGATAATTTAGCAACAGTTACTATAATATAGTGTTGTTTTATGTTTTCGCTCAGATGATTTGTTTAACCGATTAGATACCAAATAGGTATCTAATATAATGTATCTRACAATAAGCATTTCAGAATATTTTGTTATTTTATTCTATATATTTGTTTTAATTTATAATAATACGATTTGTGTACATCACAGCACTACGCACACTTTAATATACCTACATTGGCGTAATAAATTTAAATGTATAAAGCAATTAGCCATAATTCATAATCATAAAATAAMAACTTAAAAGCAGAGTTTGGAAAGAACGTCGTTCATGAACGCTTGTTCACACGTTCACGTTCATATAGTTAGTGAACGATACGCGAACGTCGCTCGTTTTTTAATTTTTTTAAAAATAGAACGTGAACGTGAACGACGTTTATATTTTTTATATAATTTGGACGATTTTGAAGACGCTCRATTTATTTACTATTTAATAAATATAATATGTATATAATTTAGATACTTTAGAAAATGCATATGCTCTAAAGTCTAAATTGTTTTTATTTTTGGTTTGAGAGTTGAGACCTATATGTTTATGGGTTTTTATACAAACTGCTGGTAAACTATTTATAAACAAAAAATTAGATGAACGACCTTATGAACGCGTTCATTTTTTCAAAGAACGTGAACGCGTTCGTTTGAAAAAACATGAACGTGAACGTGAACGAATTCGTTTTTTTAATGAACGTTCTGCGAACACTGCTTAAAAGTAAAAATATGTTTATAAAAGAAATTCGATAGGTATCTGTATTCTGTAATATAAATATAAAAAATATAGAATTAATGTATTATTTAGGTATTAAACATGAATAAATATAAATTAAAAATTAAAATCATTTTTAATGTATGAYATCTACGATAATTTAGTTACTAAAGTTTCAAAAGAACCAAGTTTTTATGTTTTGAACCAATGTTAACTCACAACACGTACTTATATAATGATACAACAACTTATAATTTTAAATGATTTCGTCTAATTCTTACAAGTYATAAATGAAAGCACACTTTCCTTATAATATTTTATCATCATTCATATTCACATGTTTGTTTAAATTTAATTTAAATCAATAAAATCTACCTCAAAAATATACATAATAGATGTTAAGTTATTAATTGTATATACCTATACACTATTTAATTATTGAATGGCACAAATTGTAGACGACATATTTTGCTGTTGATTCGACATCATAGTCTTATACTGATTGATAGTAGTTTCGATTTCCGCTTTCACAGGTCTCACTAAATGTTGTTCTAAATCAAACTTCGAAAGTTTCAATCCTAAACATTCAGCCACCAACTGTTGCCAAGCAAACATTACCTATATAAATATATTAATGTGTTTGAATAATAAAAAAAAAAGGGAATACATTTTTAGAAATAATTGATTGTTCTTTAACTTACATTTTCACCGGTGCGTGCAGATACTGATTGAGAAATCGGTATTTTAAATTCTTTTGAAAATAATATTTGTTTTTCTTCAGCAACTGATCTTTTGTGTTCTAAATCACCTGTGTATGTAACATAGTGTAATCTATTAAAAATTAAGTACAATCGTAAATTCTCATTAAATTTATAAGTTGGTTAATATATAGTTTGGTTTTAGATATTTAAATACGAAAGGTATAACTACTAGGGTACTAGTAASGTCTCAAATACGAGCTAATCTGAAAGACGTGGTAATCCGAATCGGCTTGAAAATTGTCGCATCGCTATATTATAATACGCACATGTATATATGTATATGATAAGGTAATAATATTTCGTGATTTCTGCTTCAGAAGCTATATAAGTATACAGTCAAACGGGCTGAAAAAAATGTTGATAACTGCGAAGAACTACTGTTGCTTAGACGTTCGCAGGACAAGGTAAGAGTATATAATCAGCATATTATAGGAACAAGTGTTAAAAAAAAAATCAATGTTTGAAATGAATAGATACAACTTATGGGTAAATGGCTGGCTATAGGTAAAAAATATTATAATTTTGATATGAATTAGCTAGTACAGCATGTATAGATACAACTAAGTATAAATTTCAAAATTTAATCTCGTTCGGATTAACGATCCCTATTGTTTATACTATATAGTTTAAAATTTTGTAGGCAGACAGTAATGCAGTATATTATTTGAAAAAAAAACAACACGATATAATTACGAATTATTTTCTTTTATTCTAATATGCAAATGTCATTATAAATATTATACAATTATTACTCTATTATTCATACATCAATCATAGTTTTTGACCAATATTCAAAAATAATTTAGATAAGTTAAAAATGTCACTGTTTTTGTATCTACTTTGTAATATACATGTTTTATGTTTTAACTTCTAAATTTTAAAGAATACTTACTTTTATTTGAAAATAAAGCAAACGTTGGTACATTTTCATATTGAACACTTATAGCTTTATTGTACCATGTTGATACAGCCGAAAACGAAACACAGTCAGTTATATCATACACAAGTATGATTGCCTATATATTTATAAACATGCATAATTGATGAAGTAAAAWAAATTAAATTCAAAGAATGATATTTTATTAATTAAAAATGGTTATTGAAATTGTGCGATTAATAGGTAACAAAAATTATAAAACAATATAATACATAATATTACATCAGCATTGTAAATGTATTTTGTTAACAGTCCATTAGATGATCCACTTGTATCCCAAATATTGATTCTGACATTATGACCTTGAATTTGTGTTCTTTTTAAATAAAATTCTACGCCACATGTTGGTATATATTGTCTCGTGTAATCATCGTGGCAATATCTAGACACGATACAACTCTAAATAAAATGTACAAAAACTTTGATTTTAAAATGTGCTTAAATATGTTTCTTTTTATGAAACGTTTTTATGTATTATTTCTAGACTACACATTAATACAAATTGAATAATAATTTACC